ATTATGCATGAAATTCTCAAGAGGTCAAAGACAAAACACAATTTCCTTGTTCTCCTGGGAGTAGCAGTCTTTTCTTAAGTCATTTTTTTCTGTTTTCAGTTGTTGAATTTGAAAGCCTGAGGTGAGATCTTGTCTCCCAGGAGTGACAGAGGATCTCAGTGGATGTGTGAAAAGTGAAAAGCTTCTCTTAAAGTATTTTTAAGTTGTATAACTTACCTACCAGGCGGTTTAAGGTGCATTATTATTTATGATAAGACAATTATTAGACAAACCATAATATTAACATATAACATTCCTGCAAAAGTCAATTCATAAAACATTCCTCATAAAAAAAATTGACTTTATTTACCTGTCAAACAAGTTTTCTTTATCACACATTTAAAGCAGGAAGATCTATTGCCTGACAGCAGTGTTTGCAGCTCACTGGCCTTGACCTGAAGGTAATCAGAATGAGGGGTAAATATGTTCTCAGCAGCTTCAGCACAATTACCTCTCTGCGGTATGAATACCAAAAGCAATGATTCATATTTTCATTAATATTGTTTCATATTTTCATTTTACAAGTTGTTTACATCCTCCTAGCTTTATGCTACATTAAGAGCTTCCACATATACTCAGGAGTGCTTGAGTAACATGCTCTTTGTCTCTCTGCCACCTCTTGCCCAATCAGCACCTAGTTTTTGCTGTGCTAATGAAGCACATTAAGCATTAAATTGTACTACAATTCATTATCAGTAATGTCAGGCCTTTCAAAATTGACCTCCAATTCCCAGTTTTCACCAGCTAATGCAATGACATTTCAAACAGGAAAGAGCAATAAATGGATATAAATACTTTAGAAATTACTCGAGTCAGAGGTTTTGTTGTGACATTTCTCTCGGTGGATGGTGTGCACTGGTTTCTGTGCATCCTAGGAGAATTGGACAAGCTTTTCTTAATCTCTTCATGTAATGAGTTTTCTCTTTTTTGCTATTCAGATTAATTCTGGGATTGGGCTCAGTCCAATGTAGTAGTGTTTGGTTGTCGCTAATCTCCTAACCCCATAATTCTTAATCAAAACCAAAGTCAGTATTTTTTTTTTATCATTATCTAATACATCATGAATGAGGCCATGGATTACAACTCTGACCTTGGCATTCTGCACGGCTGAGCAGGACTCTCCTACTTCTCACTAACCTAAAATGACCTCACCTGAACAATGTTCTGTGTTGGACAATGTTTCTGCCTTTATGTTGTTATTTCTTTCACCCACAGAAACTATTTGCCTCAATGGTCCTGAAACATAAAGTCCCCAAGCTCTGCGGTGGTGGAGAGGCAAAAGAGAAATGGGGAGAGATAAGGCATAGTGGCGTCTGTCTGACAGCACATCAGTAAGAAGGTCAGAGATTATATACAATACTTCTATACCTCTGGCATAGATGAAAAAAAAGAGATTTAGAGATAAATCCAGGGAAAGCATGACATAGAGACAGCTTAAAGAGCCTGTCTTTGACAACTTAAACATGCCCAAAAGGGCAGAATATTATAGACAGGATAAATTGTCCACCTTGTTGTATAAAACCATCTTAGACATTTCTTGTAGAAATTTCTACCCCTTAAGTCTCTTAAATCTCACATATAAGTCCTTCAGACCTGTCAGGTCTGGTTCATGTATCACTACACAATGCTCTCAACTGTACATATAAATACAGGAGAATCAAATCTAAACTATGACTCTAATGTAAAAGAGTGGCAGACAGTTGAGTGTGTCCCATCCATCACAATGAGATGAACAGTCCCTGGGGCTGATAAGGCAGGTCTGTGTCAACAGCCTGTCAATGAAGACAAACGAGGAGGAGGAGGACTCTTGGAGGTGCAGAGCATCATTTATCTCTCTCTCTCTCTCTGTTTGTCTCTCTGTTTGTCTCTCTGTGTCTTACTTTCTTTGCTGCCATCTGAAAGTTGGGCTAGGAATAATTCAGGGAATACTCTCATCTGCTAGTGTGTAGGTGAAGTGGCCTTACAGATATACAACTACACTAATTATTTAGGAGGGCTGCAGGGCCTAATTAATTATGTTTTTTTCTCCTTATAGACTCATCCTCAAATGCTTAAGGTCAGTTTAACATTAATATTATTATGATGTTTAGGTCTATTATAATTCTGGTCATACATTCATGTCCGCTT